GTCATTTTTGCCACCTTGTATGAAATCAATCACGCTGTGATGCGTTAATATGGAAATAAAAAATAAATAAAACTCATTTTTTATTTCTTATTGATTCTAATGTACAGCAAAGAAGAGTTCAAAATTTGCTTATAATCGTATACCAGAGGGAGACTTTGTACAAAAGTCGTTTGCTTGGGCACCTCTGAACCGTTCGTGTTTCAACCGTAAAGCAGTTGTGTTTGCATGGCTGTGTTTCGGTTTGAAGGGTGGGATATGCCGTGAATTTACAGTGTACAGAGGAATAACACCTGAGTCCTCAGGAATGGCAACGCATGGGAGGTATCTAGGGCGAAACAGTATACTATGTTATGTCCATGGTACTGCTCATGTCTATAGGCGACGGTTGCCACTTTCCATCAGGTGGGCCGTCAGCTTGTTTGTCATTCTAAGTTGTATAAAAAAAATGCTAGGAAATCCTTTCCCTTTGAAGTCGGCTAAAACTGCGATATAATAATATATTATGATATTGTATTGAATGAATATAGGAAACCATTGTGATCCAACATTATGTTTTTGAATACCATTGTAATGGTTATTGAAAGGCGGGCCGATTCGTGTCAGGGTCGCTGCAAATTATAACCGTAATATTGTTTAAACGGAACGAGGATATCCGCGTAAACCCAGGTGACCGATATATGTGTTACTAGCTGTATCTCGTGGGTTCACTTGCGTGAATTAGTGTATAAAGCATCGTATTTGCTAAATTAGGATATAACCATACTTGTGAGTCAAATTTCATTCTTTCAATAATATAAAATTAAACTTTTTGAAAAAAGCAACAGCTGAGTTTCTTTCCCGTTTTTCTTTGCTGAAATTGTGTTCCGAATGCAATAAAAAAAGTTACCATTCAAAAATGTTTAAATCTAAGTTTACTTGAATAAAGATATGTAGTCTTTTGTTTCTTGTATTAAAATCTGATTAGTAGTTTTCGTGTGAAAGAGGAACATACATCTATCGTTACAAACTTTCGCATTTAAAATGTTAATATTATAGGATAGGATTCCTAGGATTAGTATATAATATTATGATAACTTGACTTCTACTTTCAAGTTCGCGTTAATGTCGATTTTTTATCCAAATTTTTCAATCAAGTAAAGTTTTTTTTTGATCGGTGAAAATGGTATGGTAACCCCGACTGCGCTAACGGGATACGCTGGCGGAGCACCAGTGAAGGGTGATAGATGAGAATGAAAACAGGCAAGTTAGCCCATCATGATGAATTCATCAGGAATTAACCATGATAGTTTCTAGGGGGAACCGCGAGGAGGTCGACCTGGTTAGATATATTGCTAGCAATGGAATTCTCAGTCTCCATTACTAACAATCCCTTTCCCCCCAATCAAGTCAAGTTCATTGAAACTAAGAAAGTTTACTTGATTTGAGAAATATTTTTCTTTATGCAAAAATTAATTTTTTACAATTACTTTCTTGGGTCAATTTTTTTTGCGCATGGACGAATCATAGGTTTTTTTTGTTAATTTGTATTAACATACAAATGTTTTAATTATCACTGAAGTTGTTGGCTGAATTGTTTTAATAAATATCTTTATAACTTTGTTTCTTTTTACTGAGGTAGTTTTCGAGACGTTTAGATAGAGGCTTCGGGACCTCTTAGGGGGTCGCGAGCGATCCACATGTTGAAATACATTGTCCTATATTGTACAATACAAATAAAGTATACTCATTCATTCATTCGATTTAACCACATGTATCTATTATGTTTGAAGTGGCAATGGGCTGGTCACACAGCTCGTAAAACCGATAACTGATGGAGAAGAAAGGTTTTTAAGTGACGACTCCGTATGGGCAAAAGCAGGCTAAGACTACCCTCCATTAGATGGAGTGACGACCTCAAATATATTGTAGGCAATCAGCGGATACAAGTAGCTCAGAACTATTTTATTCATTAAAACAATGATTGATATTTTGTAATTTGATTTATTATAAATCTGACAAGTTAAAACTTACTTCCTCTTCGATGTCCGCCACAGATCCACGTTCTTGATTCCAACCATAGATAAACAAAATACACAACATCTCCTATGTTGACATTTCATGTTCATTTCTTTAAATTTTGTTTATCTTTATAAACAAAATTTAAAGAAATGAACATGAATTTATATAAATGAGAAAATGCTTACATTTTATCATTATAATTTAAAATTAACAATCAAGTTTAACAGGTGGTCGGACAACACGTCCAGACCTTGTTCTCATAGTGGGATTACCATCAACATTACAAGACAGTGATTTATTATTAACATTAAGATTACCATTCGACTGGATTTGTGAGTTGTTAGAGACATCATTTACTGTATCATTTTGGCACTCAGATGGCAAGACTGTTACTGATGTGCTGTGATCAGGTTCTTGAACATAGCTTTGACTTGACCGAGACAATGTACCATTATGTGACTGTGTTGAATGATTTTGTTCTGACCCAGAAACCTGACTTGACATAGGAATAGGTAGACTAGAATATTTATTTGTTAACAAATTGGTTTCATCTGACAATTTTTTCTGTAACGAAGTGAATGACCATTTTAAATTTTTATTTTGTTTCAGTATTTCATTATTATTTTTATTTAATCTTAAATGATAACGATTTCTCCTATATTGGGAGCCATCATTATACCTAATTAAGTATGATCTTGGACAATTATTTACTATGTCTATGACTATACCTGGCGACCAATTACTATTTGGAGTTTTCTTATACCATATGTGATCACCCTTATTCAATGGAGTTAATTCTCTTGTGCGTTTATCATAATATTTTTTATAGTTTTCTTTGTGCTTCCTTAATTTTTCTTCAATATCTTTGAATCTCACTGTTTTAGGTTTCAGTAATTTCATCTTTATTGGTAAATTATACCTCAACTTTCTTGACATTAGCATTTCCGCAGGAGACTTCATGTATTCTTTTGCATTAGAACGATAGTGCAAAAGTGCTAAATATGGATCTACATTCTCTTCATCTGACTTGCGTAAAATATTTTTTACAATCTTGACAGCTGACTCTACTTGTCCATTAGATTGTGGAAAATTAGGACTCGACGTACTATGACTTATATCCCAATTTGTACAAAATTCTTTAAATTCCATTGAATCAAATGGAGGTCCATTGTCTGTAAATAGTTTTAAGGGAATACCATGGCGAGCAAATATCGATTTAAAATGTAAAATGACATGTTTTGCTGAAGATCCAGTATTTAACAAAGCTAATTCTATATATTTTGAATAATAATCAATCACAACTAGATACTTTTTGTCTTTATATTGTAATAAATCTCCTCCAACTTTCTCCCATGGATATTTAGGTATTTCACTTACAATTAATGGTTCATGAGAATTATTATGTTTAAATTTTGAACAAATTTGACAATTTTCTATGACTTGCTCTATGTCTGTGTTCATATTGGGCCAAAAAATTACACCACGAACTAAGTTTTTACTTCTGCTTATACCCAAATGACCTGCATGAACTTTTTGTAACATTTCTTTACGGAGTGATGTAGGAATAATAAGACTAGTATTTTTAAATACTAGTCCATCAATAACATGTATTTCAGATCGATAATTCCAATATTGTCTAACACAAAGTTCTGTTTTATTTTTATGAATTGGCCAACCTTCTATAAAATATTTTAGTAACTTTTGTAGTGTAGAATCATTAAGAGTTTTTTTTATAAATTTGGAGTCTCTCTTCAGAAACTGAAAGAGTAGATATGAACATATTTGCATGTATTGCAATGTCATTATCTATACTATGTTCTTCAGACTCCAATAAAGCAGCTCTAGATAATGTGTCTGAAATGTATAATTTTGAACCTTGAACATATGTTACATTGAGATCATATACTTGTAGTGATAGCATCATTCTTTGAAGTCTATTGGGTACTTGACTTAGAGGTTTCTTAAAGAGAGTAATTAAAGGTTTGTGATCAGTCTCTACATTAATTTTTCTGCCATAGACATACTGATGAAATTTTTGACAACCGAACAATATTGCAAACAACTCCTTTTCTATTTGAGCATATCTTTTCTGACAGTCTGTAAGAGTTTTTGATGCATAGGCTATAGGTTTATTACATTGTAACAGAACTGCACCTAATGCTGATTGTGACGCATCTACACTTAAAGTTAGTGGTTTTGTATTATCATAATGACATAAGATAGGTGATTTTGTGATTAAATCTTTAAGTCTTTGAAAGGCTTTATTATGGTTTTCATCCCATAACCACATTGAGTCTTTTTTTAAAAGATTTCTAAATATCTCTGTCTCTGTAGAAAGATTTTTGATGTAGGTACCTAAAAAATTTATCATGCCTAGAAATCTTTGTAAACTTTTTTGACAATTTGGAGTAGGCATTTCACAAATGGCTTTGATTTTGTCATAATCAGGGCGCATACCTTCAGCACTAAATATTTGTCCTAAGAATTTTATTTCATTTTGTTGAAAGACACATTTCTCTCTTTGAAATTTAAGATTTATAGATTCTGCTCGATTGAATACTTTTTGTAAAGTTGCTATATGTGAGGCTTCATCAGTACTATAAACCAATATATCATCAATGTATATAATTACACCCGGTATGTCTGAGAATGCTTCTACAAGTGTTTTACTAAATATTTCAGTTGAACAATTAAGACCAAATGGTAATCTTTTGAATTTGTATCGACCTAATGGCGTGTTAAAAGTGCAAAGGTCTGAACTCTCAGAATCAAGAGGTATCATCCAAAACCCAGCAAAAGCATCCAGGTGTGAAAATATTTTAGCCCCATGTAATTTTGATCTTATATCTTCAATAGTTGGCAAAGGAAAATGTGATCTTTGTATTGCCTCATTCAGGTTTCTAGGGTCTAAACAAATTCGAAGTTTATTATTAGATTTTTCTACAATAACAATAGAACTAACCCATTTAGTAGGTTTTGACACTTTCTCTATAACATTCAGTCTTGTCATCCTGTCCAGCTCTTCTTTCAATCTGTCTTGCAATGCAAATGGAATTCTACGTTGAGCATCAATCTTTGGTTGTACATCAGGTAAGACAGTCAAATGACACTCATAGGGTAAACAACCCAGGCCCTGAAAAAGGTTTTCATATTTAATTAATAAAGTTTTTAAATTATCAGGATTAGTTAGGGAATTATTAAAAATCCTTTGAACAAGACCAATTTTTGTGCATGTTTCTGCCCCTAAGACTGACTGACATGAAATATCTACTATAATAAATTTTATTTTATACATTTTATCATTAATTAGGCATTCAATAACACAATATCCCTTTATTGGTATATTGACACCACCATATGCAAATAACTTTGAAAAGCAATATTTGATAATGTTACTTGACAAATTGAGTTTACAAAATGTTTCATATGACATACAATTAGCTTTTGCTCCTGTATCTATTAAAAATTTTAAGTTTACATTATTAATTTTGACACTGATTATCCAGTCATTATCCATATTTAATGAAGACACAGTTAAATTATTATTAAATGACAGAGTACCTATAAATGTATCAGACAATAAATTAGTAGAATTTGAATGATTACAACCTGAATTTAAAGATGAATCCATTTCATCATATTCAATGTTATTTATTGGTGTTCTACAAAGATTGTAATAATGACCAATCTTGTGACATCTTTTACATTTTACAGACTTAGCAGGACATTTAAATCTGTGATACTGTCCACATCTGGTACATTTTTTATTATTGCCAAAATTGGCTGTATTATTATTATTAAATGGTACAGCCTGCTGTTGTTTTAATCCATTTTGACTTGTAGAAAGCTGTTTAGAGTGAGAATGTGCTGTTGTTCTTGAACTGCGCAGAGTAGCTACAGGAATTTCTTGAGAGAGATATGATGTACTATTAAATGACAACTCAAGAGATTTATATATAGTCACTAATTTATATAAATCTACATCATTTTCAGTAAGCAATTTTTCTCTTATGTGATTATTTGTTTTATCCATGTTACATATGAACATGTCTCTAATTAAAGAATCTTTTAATTGTCCAAATTCACATACAGATGCCTGTTTTTTCAATTTTGTTAGAAAAGTGTCTAAGGAATCACTTTCTTGCTTCAACGTAAAAAATTTATGGCGTTCTATTGCCAAATTCTTTTTTGGAATAAAATAATCGTCAAAGGATTTCAAAACTAAGATATACGTTGACTTTTCTTTTTCACTGAATGAGTTATATATGTCCAGGCATTGCTCACCCATAGAATGTAGTAGAATGGCAATTTTTCTTTCATCCGAGCATGTGTCGAACTGCATAGCTATCATGTAGTTATTGAATGTTTGTTTCCACTTTTGCCAAGATTGGACGACATCGCCATCTTGGATGTTAAATGGTTTTAGTGAATTTATATTATGATCCATGACTCAATTTTGTTGCACAATTTGCTTTGGATATTTTAATTAACCGCTGCCACCATATTTTATTCATTAAAACAATGATTGATATTTTGTAATTTGATTTATTATAAATCTGACAAGTTAAAACTTACTTCCTCTTCGATGTCCGCCACAGATCCACGTTCTTGATTCCAACCATAGATAAACAAAATACACAACAAGAACCAATCTTGTCGGTGAGTGAGGCGAGAGTGAGCCAGAGAATGCGGTGTAGAATCACCGTCCACTAGATGGAAGAACGAACTCATGTGCAATGCAGAGAGTTAGTGGATGCAGGTCTCAGGATTGTCCCATATGGTCTATGGGGGAGGGCTACGTATGTAAACAACAGTGTACAATTAATTGTTAAATACATATACATTTAAAGTTTATTACACAATAAGGAAGTGATATTTCTTTCTATTACAAGATGATTTGCATTTGATTTTACCTCACCTGGTGGTAAGTGGTGGTAAGTATGAATATTGAAGAATGATGTTTGATAAATTATATATTCTTTATTGTACTTAAACAATATATGCGACGATTAGTTTAACAACTTGCTAGCAAGGGAGGACTTATCTCTGAAAGAGATCTCTCCCAGCCAACCCAGTGTAGTTAGAGAGGAAATAATTTAATTTGGGTAATCCAGTGCAGGAAAGGTACCGGTGAAAATAATGTAAATACAACAAACACAAATTGTGAAAAAATATATAAATAAATAAATACGTAAATAAGTAAATAGATAAATATATATACATATGTATAAGTTTTCAAAAGATTTGCAAGGAAGGTATCCAATTCGCCAGCTTTTTGTTATTCGAAATCTTTTCCAGTTCTTGAGTTTTGTATAGATTTTACAAAATTGTACATAATAGATACGTCTTAACTCTGTTTTTTTTTACAGCGAATTCTGAAATTAATACAGTATAATATATTTGATAGTGTAATGTGGGTATTAAATCGACTATATTCCGCCGTTTTATCTTATGGCCGTGCAACAATGTAAGGCGATTACTACCACATAATCGTTACAAAATACTGAAAGTGAATGTGTTAGGCCCGGAACTGAAGAATTGTTAATCTCTCGGTGCCGGTGTTTATGCCATACTTTAGCACTGTTTATATAATTATACAGTTTCGCATTTTTTTTTTAATAGATGATAATGAAATGGTAACCCGTCTGCGTTAACGGTATACACTGGCGGGGCACCAGTGAGGGACGATAGGTGAGGACGATAAATCAAGTTAGCCCATCGTGACGAATTCAACGCTAAATTAGTCACGATGGTTTCCAGGGGGAACCGCGTGGGGGTCGACCTGATGGGGTATATCGATAGCAATGGGGTCTAACCTCCCCATTGTTAACAATCCGTTCCCCCACTGTCTTGCATTAGGTGCATATAAAATGTAAGATTTGCAGTCGCATCTAAGCTTCACGTAGAGAAGATGCCTTGAGATATTAGTGTAGTTAAGTGGAACACTAATTAAGAACCAGTAATTTTAACTATTCCTTTGTTAAATGTTTCGTAAGTAGGTACGTATTATGTATATTTTATTACAAAATTAATAACCGGTTTGACTTATTGTATTTCTGTGGAGAATGCTCGACTAGTTACGAATGTTAATTATATTGATCCGGTTATAATTTTTAAAATATAGCTTTAATTATATATATATATATATATATATATATATATATATATATATATATATATATATATATATATATATATATATATATATATATATATATATATATATATATATATATATATATATATATATATATGAAAAACGACTCTAACTGTGACAAAACCAGTTATTTTGGACCAAAAACTAAAATACTAAACTGATTTTGATGAAATTTAAATAAAATATATATCTTTTCAGATAAAAAAATAATTTTCCAAATCGGTTTAAAATTGGCAAATTTATATTCATAACCAGAATAAATTGTAAAATAGTGCCAACACCGTGGGGTGAGGACCTGGTGATCTGTAACACAGGTTTATCCTACTTCAGACACCAGTTCTTCACAATACATTAAATTATGTAACCTCCAAAAATAAATGTATTAGAATATAATAGATGTACAATTGGTATTGTGAAGAGAATAAACTTTATTATTATTATATTATTATTATTATTCTGTACCCTGTAAACTTACTGCCATATTCGATCCTTCAAACTGAAACACAGTTGTGCAAACACGACTACTTTATTGTTGAAACATGAATGGGACAGAGGTACCCAAGCAAACGACTTTTGTACAAAGTCTCCCTCTGGTAAACTGTAATAAGATTATGTTTTGTTAGGTACATTTTCAAATGATGCTGAAAGATGACTAAATTTAATTTTAAGTTTTTTACTACACTGGATATGTTTAAAAAAACCTGTTAATATGTCCGAATTCTTGGGTTATCACGCGTCTTGTCCTGGTTGCCAAAATTTAGATATGGCAACCCCATTCCCAACAAATAAACCGTCACCTACAGGGGGGAAAGTGTTTGTTAGTAATGGAGACTGAGAATCCCATCGCTAGCAATATACCCAAACAGGTCGATCTCCTCGCGGTTCTCCCTGGAAACTATCATGGTTAATTCCCGATGAATTCATCATGATGGGCTAACTGACCTGTTTTCATTCTCATCTATCACCCTTCACTGGTGCTCCGCCATCGTATCCCGTTAGCGCAGGCGGGGTTACCATATCATTTTCACCCATCAAAAAAAAAAAACCGTCACCTACAAGACTATTAATAAAGGCAATTATTAGAATTCTTAATTACCCCATTGCGAGTTACGGCTGTAATAGTGTTTATACGTGAAAGTGTTGGCAAATTGATGCCCTAACCTTAGGCTTTCTCCATTTAAAACAGTTCTCGTGTTGAGTACTTTCTATTTTAATGTACTTGAAATAGTTGGCAGGTGTCAAGTGATGTAAATTGCTATTTTTGTGCGGGGGAATGTTTGTGACGTATTAGTACGTAAGCTGCTGCCAATTTTTTTCAATCTATTGCGATTTTTATACGTAACTATTTTTTTTTTATTTTTTTTTTTATACAACTTAGAATGGCAAACAAGCTGACGGCCCACCTGATGGAAAGCGGTAACCGTCGCCTATAGACATGAGCAGTACCGTGGACATAACAGAGTATACTGTTTCGCCCATGATACCCTCCATGCGTTGCCGTTCCTGAGGACGGGGGTGTTATTCCTCTGTACCCAGTAAATTCACGCCATATCCCACCCTTCAAACCGAAACACAGCCATTTAAACACAGCTACTTCACGGTTGAAATACGAATGGGACAGAGGTACCCAAGCAATCGACTTTTGTACAAAGTCTCCCTCTGGTAATGTCCGCGATTTTGTCCGCGTGGTATTCGTTATTCCTGTTTAGTATGTATCGATGTATGTGCTTACCTATTTATTGTCTGGCAATACTGGACCAAAATTAACAAATGAAGTGTCGTTCTCACTCTTTGACTTAGGTCAAAATGTCTTTACTTAAGTAGGTTGTGTACTAAGCTGTACAAGTTACTATAGTTTTTTATAGTTAAAAACCCATGGGAACTCTTTAGTTTTCCGTGATTAAAAGTATCTAAAATATTGACTGGGTATGTAAGGTACCATGTAAAATTTCATTTCAGAGAGCTGTGTGTCATTGGTTTTTAAGCACGTAAAAAGAATCGTCAAAATCAGTCCTGAATTTAATAAATTATCGCATAACATATAAAAAAAATACAAGCGAATTATAAAAAATTCTGACTAATTTTTAGAAATTGGTAAAAGTACAAATTCTCCGGCCCACCACGGTTCGATTTATGACTGACGCCAACACGCGATATTAGAATTAGCGTTTTTATAAACGCTGGGATGTCGTCAACTAGACACAGCCACGTCATAATAACAATTTATTGACCAATTTAAATATATTTAATTAGATATGTTTATAAAATGTGCTGGTTCTTGTTGTATATAGGTATTATTTATTATTTATATTAATTGTAAGATAAAATTACCGTCTGTTGACTTGAAGTATATTATGTATTTTTTGTTCTATTTCAATTGTTTATAAATATTCTTTTTTTTTATAAAAAACTACAATTGTTAATATATAAAAAGGTTAATTTTGAACAAGATGTTTGTATAATTATGTTAAAGTAAATGCTGTAAAAGGCATGTGCATTAATATATTTAATGTTTGTTAAATATGTATGATATATTATAATATGATACAATATGCTGTTGGTGTTTCTTAGAATAAAGAAATTAATAAATAAATAAATGTCCTGGTTAACTTCGTATCATTTACAGCGCCATCTCTTAGAAGCAATCCGAAGTAGCGATTCCCATACAAAATAATCTATTTTAAATTTTTCTATAATGATTTTTTTCATTAATTATCTAATTGGTTAATTCGTTTAATTTAATAGCTTTATGATTCATTTAACGATAACACGTCACGATGTAACAAGTACAGTAGAGTAAGATTAAGGTACAACGGTTCGAGTCTCATTTTAGGCTTCCGTTGACTATTATTTCACGATGGACTTTGAAGGGTCTTAAACATGAATGGGATAAACTCATCTACAGCGTGCGCAGACAACAGGCAAGACTCATTATGGGTGCCCTAACTGGACATATGCCAATAAGGCATATACTACACAAGATGATCGATTGCTTGGGTACCTCTGTCCCATTCGTGTTTTAACCGTGAAGCAGTTGTGTTTGCATGACTGTGTTTCGGTTTGAAGGTTGGGATATAGTGTGAATTTACTGGGTACAGAGGAATAACACTTGAGTCCTTAGGAATGGCAACATATGGGGGGTATCATGGGCGAAACAGTATGCTCTGTTATGTCCATGCTATTGCTCATGTCTATAGGCGCGGTTACCGCTTTCCATCAGGTGGACCGTCAGCTTGTTTGCCATTCTAAGTTGTATAAAAAAAAAATATGGGTCTATCTTCGGACACACTGTGCAGACTGTGCGGGGAGAAATCGGAATCCATGGAACATTTGATGTGCAACTGCGATTCGTTGGCGAGCATGCGTATGAGTCTACTGGGAACGGCATATCCAGAGCCAGGGGACTACAGACATCTTAAACCGCGGGATATCGTCAAGGTAACACAAAG